CGGGTGACTGAGCCTCACCCCCCTTACCAGGAGACCAAATGCTTATGTCACCGCTGGTATTGATGAAGATCTCTCCTCCACCGCTTTCTGCTGACATCAGATCTCTGCCATGTTGGTATCCTATGCGAATGGCAGCATTTCGTTCCCCTTGCCAGGCAACCCAAGCAATGGGTGAGTCCTGACCTGCCCTCAGCAGGACCCGGACCGAGACACAGTTTCCGCGGGCTCCTAGCCCCGGTCCAGGGAAGTTCCGGGAGCCGGAACTCGGCCACTCCGTGCTCGGTGTAAGCTCCTATAAGTGTAGGCTCCAAGAAGCAGCCCCCGCGGGCTCAGTTCCGGGAGCCGGAATTCGGCCGCTTAGTGTTTGGTGTATGCTCTGATAGTAGCAGGGTCCAAGAAGCAGCCTCCGCGGGCTCCGCAGCCCTGAGCCAGGGCGGTTCCGGGACGGTTCCGGGAGCCGGAACTCGGCCGCTCTGTGCTCGGTGTAAGCTCCTATAAGTGTAAGCTCCAAGAAGCAGTCCCCGCGGGCTCAGTTCCGGGAGCTGGAATTCGGCTTCTTGGTGTTTCGTGTTTGCTCTGATATTAGCAGGGTCCAAGAAGCAGCCTCCGCAGGCTCCGCAGCCCGGAGCCAGGGCGGTTCCGGGACGGTTCCGGGAGCCGGGACTCGGCCGCCCCGCGCTCCGTGTTCACTCCGATAAGATCAGATTTTAAGAAGCCCCCAGGCGCTGAACCCTAGCAATCTGTCTGCAAGCCGCAGGCGAATTGCAGCCTGAAATTACCTGTTCTATGGCTGAATGAGCTGCGGTCAGTCAAAAACAGGTGTGGTGACGTCAGTTTACCAACATGGTGGCTGCTGGCCTCCTCTGTGGTCTGACCGGTGTGGAGAACCGAGATGGACCGCTTCCTTCCCCGTCTCGAACCCAGAATTCAGCCCTGAGTGCGGTGCTTGCGCGTCTGGCAGAAACTGCAGCGCTGTAACCCTGCGTCTCTATCCCAGCGCGCCTTGCAGACTCTAGCCGCGGGGCGATTTGCTGAATAAGCAGTGTTACCCTCCGTGCGACAAACCTCTCGCGTTTGAGTCCCCGTAGCCAATCCTCATGCGATGGAAATCCTTCCTCCAGGTTCCGGCGCACCCCACTATTGCTGGAAATTCCTAACAAGATATCCTTTAGCCGTCCTGACTTGTCATACTCCCACACAGTGAAGCAGCACACGGGGGTAATGCACTCCCCTCGCCGCCATCTTCCCTCCTCTCCACAAGAATACATTTTAAAATGAAGTTTGCATTTAAGTATTTGGGAGAAGAAGTGGATATATACTTTAATATCTCAGGTCTGCGTCTACAATTAAACTATAAAGATCATAGTTTTCATTTTGCCCCATGTAGCAGAAAAAGCTGGTAAGAGAATAAGAAAACACATTCTTCCAGTATTTCAGACTTGGTTGTTAATGAGCCTAAGAAGGATGGTAAATTCTAAAGTCAAGAATTTTCATCCAAAAATGCTGAGATTTATCACAATGAGTGAGTACTTCTACAAATCTAATCTCAGGAATTAACAAATGACAAAAAGAATATCAGGTTCACAAAATAAGTTATCAGAATTTTTATTTATTTACTTATTTATTTATTGTAGATGGACGCAATACCTTTATTTTATTTATTCATTTTTATGTGGTGCTGAGAATTGAATCTAGAACCTCACACATGCTAGGCAAGCACTCTACCATCAAGCCACATCCCCACACCAAGTTCTCAGAATTTGAAAGATGAGATTTTTGTTTTCCCATAAACTGGAAAACAGAATTCTTAAAGTCAACAAGGCTCTTTCCCAGTATGGCTTTTACTCTATGGGTCCTAATACTAAGATTATCTATAAAGCAGTTTTTTAATGTTTTAGTGAGTAAACTTACTAATAATTTTATCTGATACAGGTACAGAGTCAAACTCATTACATAAAAGATTTACAATCTATCATTAACATTTAATTAATCTTATCAAATTATCAAAAAGTATAGCTCTCCAAAGTTTATAAACTAGGATTAATATACATTGACAAAAATATTTTTGAAATATTCTTTTCCTTTAGGTAAACTTGTTTTAGAATAAGGTCTTTCATTTTAAAATGAAGAAGGGTAGACAATGGCATCATAGCATTGCACTCTATAAATAGCTCCCACAGTTCTATATGTTAATGACCTTTTCCTACACAATAAAAATATTCAGAATTTATTGTCTAACTGAGGCTGTTAGCGTTTAAGCTTTTATATTCTTTCCTCTGTAGCTACCTTTTTAGAAATCATAAATCTTCAAAGCATATGAAAATATTATCTGACACAATATTATCACTTGTTTATATTTCATAGCCTTCACCTAAGCTTTTATTTTCCTATATTCAACTGGTGTGCTACATTCCGTGGTCTCTATCAGCAATAGCACTTAAAATTTCCAGATTAACCAACATAACATTAAAGCAAACAGAGGAAGGTTACCTGGGGTCAAGAACTAGTGGGAACAAAGTATCAATAAATTGCAATTTATTTCAATACATTGTCCTGATCCAAATAGCATCAGTGTTCTTCAACAGCTCTTTTTCTTTGCAACTCCTTAAGAATTTTTTTTTTTCACTTCTTAGAGAACAGCCCAATCTGTTTCCTTAAAACTACAATTGACATGACTCTGAATAGTGCAAACATGAATAATAGTATACACTGGTGTTTTTCCACTGTCACATGTAACTCCACTAGTTCAATTAAAAGAAAAAAAAAAAAAGCTTATTTGCAGCATGCTCTCCTTTCCTGCAGATGAACAAAGGAATCCTCCTTCACTAATTCTGAAAGTCACTTGTCACAGTGGGGTTCTAAGGCCTAGTCAAATAATTGTCTTAGTGTATTACCTGCTGTGTTCAATATTGAGTGAAAATGGAAGCCAGGCCCCAACTCCAGCTTATTTCACAATTCTTCTGTTATTTAAATGATTTTAGTCAGTTTGGGGGAAGCCAGACCTTTATAAATTAACAGCAGGGAAATACCAAAGGTGTCAGATTGCATATTTATCATCTTTTTCGTGTAATACTTAAATATGTATTAAGAAGTGACTGACATAAATTAGGCAGATTTCAGAAGCCACAGGCCGTGGCTTGTAGAGGACCCCCTTCTGCTTGACATTTCATCCTTGTCAAAGATCAAATTATTTTAATTTAGGCTGCAAATTATAAGGAATGAAGACTTCTTTGTGGGAATTCCCTGTGGTAATCTGACTTTTGTTGTTACTGCTGCTTGTCAGTGTGCAAAAGATATAATATGCATGCAAATAAGGTTAAAAAATATGTACTATCTAATTATCCAGCCAGTACATTCCACTTGAAGTCAGTGGGAGGCCTGACACACAGTATGTGTTTGATTCATTGAGGCCTGCAGGGTATTTACACAAGATTACTTTTAATTATGAAATTAATATCTGTTTATCTAGAATATATAGCGGTAAGTGAGTATACACATGAGCAGAATTCTTTAGTAAAAAGAAATCATCTTAATTTAATACATGAAAAGGAGGGAAAATCACTTATTTCTGAGGGAAAAAAAAGTCATCATTTGGATATTGGTTTCACCCTCCTTGAAACAAATGGAATGAAAACTTGGCACTTTCTCTAGAATTTGTTTCTATCTCTGCCAACTAGGCTCAAAATGTTGCTTTATTTCACAGCTTTTATTTTTTGGTGAACAAGAAGCAGTTCTAGAGTCAGTGTGATGAAGTTAATGTAGAAGAGGGGATTGTGTTTTGTTGTCATTTTGGTGGAACATTACCTCTTGTAAGTCTAAAAGTTTTGATTGCTATGAGAAATGAGGAAGTTAGTAGCGATGATTATTATTTTTTATAAGACATGACAAATGAACTAATCCCACTGCAGATTTGCTTCAATTTATAAAATGCTTATTCCTAACAAAGTTTTTTTAAACAGAGTTATGTATGTATATCTTTACTCATATTGACTTGTATTTGAAAATGGGAGAATAATTTCTGGGATATATTTATATTAACTACCATTTTAGAAAACCTACAGCATATCAATTAATACATAGTCATTCAAAAATTAGACAATGGCCCTGTTATTCTCCACACATGTCCATCAGAGGAAATGATCAAAATGTTCAAAAAATTAAAAAGTGAACACTGAATACAGCAAAGAACTGTCCACACTTTTTATATTCAGCAGGGTTTTTTGTCACCAGGCCCAAAACAAAAACTCTGGCTAATTAATTGGGGTTTTTAGCAAGCCATTACCATAATAGAGTGGTTTGGAGTTTCCTTTTACTGCTGTTCTTGTCATTTCCCTTACTTGATCTTCCTGGCCCTCTATGTTCATTTGGACAACTGGGCTTCCAGTTGCCTTTGATGTCCTGCTTAGAACTTAATCTAGACCAAGATACCATTCTTGGTCACTCCAGAGTGGTTGAAAATTACTGCTTTGGACTTTACTTTCCCTTTTAAACACTTTATTCTTTTTTGTTGTTGTTATTGTTTGTTTTGTCTTGTTTTGTTTTGTTTTAAAGATGTAAGCCATGATTCAAGAATTCTATTTCTTTATTTTCCCCGAATAGTACCCTTCAATGTGTTACAATATGTTCTGAATAGGTGTCAGATGACAATCACTAAAATTTCTTCTTCAAATTTGACCATTCTTCCTACAATCAACCTCCTTGTAACATACTGGAAATTTGCATCTGGATACACATTTGTAGACACTAAACATGTTTCTCTCGGAAGTTTTCTAGTGATTTAATTTGATCATTTTTTTAAGGATTATTAGTGATAATAGGTTAATGCTAGTTACTGATTTATATTTTATGTTGATATTTATGATAAACATTTAGGTATTCTTGAAAAGCTTATTTATAAAAGGTACAATTGTGAATTTAAAAGCCCTTATTTAAAGATAAGGAAAAAAATCAAAGAAAGATAAATTATGTTCCAGTCTATGTTCCTTTTTTTCTTTTCCCAGTGTGATGGCGTACAGATTGATCTAATAAACATCTCTCTGGAAGGAATTGCTATTTTGAATATACCAAGCATGCATGGAGGATCCAACCTCTGGGGAGAGTCTAAGAAAAGAAGAAGCCATCGAAGGATAGAGAAGAAAGGGTCTGACAAAAGGACCACACTCACAGATGCCAAAGAGTTGAAGTTTGCAAGTCAAGGTAAGGTTCCTAACTAACTGTCAAATTGCTTGTTAATGTGAATTCAAAGGCTACCTTTAAAGAGTTTTTCATTGCACTAAAATGTATATATTTATGCAGTAGTGTTTTTCATAGTATCACATACCCAAGTTTTACTAAATTACACAATGGGTTCTGAATATTTTCCTTCTTTGTTCTCATTCTTTGATTAGGGTTTTTCCCCACAAAAATTAAAATGTGTACTATATATGTAATGGATAGTAAAATAGGATAGGTTATTCATTAGCTCTTCTGGAATGTAATCATCTTGATCAGGATGTACGAATTTAACACGGACCTAGTTTAGGCATTTCTAAGGTTGTATCCTAAGAGGATTTGTTCTTGTCTTTCTTCAGTCAGGCTGTGATACTGAACTGTCTTACATTAAACTGTTGTTCTAAGAACCATATATCAGGGAATGTTTCAATGTTCTACAATAAATTATGACTATCTGCTATTATTTTTCCATAGAGTTAGTAACAGGACACCTGGGAAACAAAGAGCAAATACTAATAAAATAGGATACAATGACTATGGAGAAGAATATTTCACAGTAGGATGTGACATCTAATTTTTCTTGGTAAATTTTATAAACAAAGTAATATCTTTGTTCATAAAATCTATAGGAATTTAAAAAATCAATAAAATGAATATATATGATTTTTCTTTTTACCTTCTACAGTTTACCTACTACCACTGATTGCCTTAGAAATAAGACCACATTGTCAAAGTAAAAAAATAAATAAAATTTGAAGGTAGTTGGTGGACTTGTGGTAGTAAATAGCTCTATGTTTTTGTTTGTTTGTTTGTTTGTTTGAGGGCAGGTAACTGGTAATTAATTTAGGTGTTTGCAATAGGCAATGACTTCTGTTATACAGAATTCAGTATCATGAAGGGAGGGACAAGGATAGATGGAGAAAGAGTTGGGTATGCTCTAGAAGGAAAAGGTTATTAAGACCTGCCAATGACTAGAAGTTTTGATGCCTCTGAAATGTAGAAGTAATAGTGAATATCTATGGAATTCAGTATAAGCAAGATTTTAAAAAATCAATTAGAATAGTTTATACTCAGAATGCAATATAACTATATGAAAATATGGAGAAAATAGCACTTTAAAGGAGACATACCTAGAAAAATTGAGAGGCTTGCCCTATATGAATTAATAGTAAGTAGGACATAAATATGATTATTAGTTTTTAGAAGATATTGACATTAATATCGTATTCATATTTAAATATCATCTTAAAGATTAGTAGAGTTTAAAAATGTTTAAAATTTTCTGAAAATTAGAATTAGCCTAAGAAACATACTAAGACCAAATTATAAATTTTTCTTTTGAATTCCACAGATTGCACTATTATGTTCATATATATATATATATATATATATATATATATATATATATATTTTCACTCTCTTTCTTTACAAATATTTTGTACTATGCACATATAAAATAATATATACAAAAATATTGTTGGTTTGTTTTTCCATTTGACCACTACATTACAATATTAGGCAGATCCTTTGCTTGTACACATTACAGATATGTGTCCAAATTGGTTCCCAGTGGCTCAGCTGCCTACATTCATCCACTGGAAGTTTCTAAGAAACAGGGCTGTACTCTATCCAAACAAACATCTCTATGGACATGTGTGTAAAGCCCTGCACAGAGCTGAGATTCTATTGGCCTGGTCTCACTAACTCTGATATTTATATGATTTTTTTTTCAAGAATGTATGATTGAAATAAAGTCCAGACAAACCAGTTACAGCTATTATCATTGATTCTTACTGCCATAAATGTAGGAAAACCTCTCTATTCCATTTCTGCCTTTTTTTTTTCTAATGTGGAACTATTAGATCTTATACACACTGAGAAAGAGGAAAGTGGGAACATCCTGGGTTTGTGAGTCAGGAATACATTTTTGTAAGTGTATAGTTTTTGAAGGTCATTTTATGACTCCTTAAAAATTTATCACAAGTCTCAACTAATTTTTTACTATATTTTGGAATGGAAACTTTCCACCCTAAACTTTAGAAAGTATTTCTGTGTGGTGGGGGAAGAAGCATATAACTAAATTCCCATGTGATAGAGATAAGTTATTTTATTTTTTAATAAGCAGATTGATATTAATAAAATGTGTACACTATATTTTAAATTTATTTAAATAAATTTCATAGACCAAAGGTGCAAGATTAAATTTGGTTCATCATATCCTCAATATCTTCAAGCTATGTGTGATCTGGGACTCCTGAACAGTTCACTAGCTTGCAATCTTTGAAGATATTCACATAAGATTATAACATTTTTAGTCACTAAATTTCTTTGTTGCAAATTATATTGTTGACTTAATTCAAGGTTGAATAAAATTATAAGTAACTCATTGCATTATATTATCATTTCATTGAAATATACTAAAGTATTTGGACTCAATTCTGAAACATATTTATACTCACATTCATCTAAATCAGTAGGGATTTTCTGTGTGTTTGTGTTTGTGTGTGTGTGTGTGTGTTTATAAGTATAGTAAGTGTATTATATAAAGATAGCATAGTCTTTAAGTAAATCTGTAAAGTAAGCCAAGTTGATTTTCAATGCTCCCAGCCTTAATATTTAATCTTTCCCATGTCTTTTAGTTGCTGAGTTCATCTTTACCTCCCCCTCTTCTAAATTAACCTCAGAAAGATGTCTAATAAATTTCTTCACATTAATGTATAAATGAATGATTGCACATGGAGGTAGAGGTATTTGCATTAAAGAAATAAAGGCCTCTAGCTAAAACATTATTTTTCATACTGTGTTCCATTGAGTTACAACTGTAATTCTTCAGCAGCTCTATAAAAACTTGGGTCAAACATGGCCGTATTTTGAAACAAGAAAAAAGTATTTAACAAAAAAATACCCTATGTTATATTCTATGAAAACACATTGCCATACTATTCTCAAATGATTAACTTCTGTTACCAGACAAAATCAGCTTTCTCTGGCTTTCCTCTTTCTCCTATGTAGTTAGAAAAAAGGAGTGGAATGAAGGGGGGGGGGGGGAGAGAGAGAGAGAGAGAGAGAGAGAGAGAGAGAGAGAAATAGATGGATTGAAGGAGATAAAGGAAAATATACATGCCACACATATACATTTGTGTACACACACACACACACACACACACACATAAATAAATAACTGTGGCATTGATTGGAAAGTCTATAACTCTTCAGTGGTCATTTAAAAGAACATGCCTTTCCATATTTAATGAGAAAAATGCTACAAATGGACACATTACCACCATAGTGTATGTGAACCCAGTGGAACTAAAAGACCAGCAAATTCAGACACATTTTTTGGCACAAAAACAAAACAGCACATACCAACCAGCAGAAGTGAAAACAAGATTACAACACCAATATTTTAAATGAAAACAAAGATCCTTTTTAGTAGCATTTTTGCTCATAAAGAAATTGCATTAATTAACTAGCTCCAATAATAGGGTTATACTAAAGTATATCACAAGCATGCTTTAGTCAGAGAAAATTTGATTTAAACATATTCACAACTGTGGCTAAGGAGCCAGGCATGAAATTAAAAATTTTAGGTCTTTATGCAGAATAAAATAAATCCTACTAATTTAAACTTTAAAAGAATATGAACCAGGCAGAAGTAACATTATATAATAAATTTCTGTTAACTAAAGTGGAAAACTTTAGATTACAAAAGCCACCTTTGAAAACTTTGTATTACAAAAGCACCTTTGAAAACTACTTTTAAAATTCTTTATTTTTTTAATTTGTTCTTATTAATTATATATGATAATGTAATGTATTTTGACATGTTATACATATATGAAATATAACTTCTCATTCTAGTTATACATGATACAGAATTACATTGGTTGTGTAATCCTACATGCACATAGGAAAGTTATGTCCAAATCATTGTACTATCTCCTATTCCCATTCCACTTCCCTTCCCTTCATTCCCCTTTGTCTAATCCAAAGTACTTCTTTTCTTCCCTACCCTGATCAACAAATATATGAAAACTGTTTTTTAACCAAAAGTGAGGACCTTTCAAGGAATGTGATCTATTTTAGTTCTAATTGATGTACCTTTGAATAGTCAAGTTAAACTCTTACACTTTCCAGTAATGGAATCAGAATGTGACCAAGTAAGATGCAAAAAGTTCATCTACTTAATTATATATCTGCATCAGGATAGTCCCAATACCATGCAACCAAAATAAAATGTAGAAATCTAAGAAAGGCAGGATGGCTGTAACATTGCAACTGACTTCATCAAAATAGTCCTATTATTCCCGTAAATCAACTAACTGAAAATGCTAACAACTTGAACCTCTGAAATGTATTTGTACAAATAAAATTTTGATTTTCTCTTTTATTTACTTGTTTTTAAAATATTCCTTCATTTGTTTAAACAAAAGTTGTTGACTGCTTTAAAAAGGTCGAAAATGACTGAGCAGAAGTAATTACATTCAAACCATAGATTTTCAAGCATTTGCCAGAAGCTAAGGGAGGTGCTGCCAAGAGCAGCTGGACTTCCTGCTTGAAACTTCATTAAGTAGATGTCTGTCTACACTGCACATAGTATAGCTAGCCAGGTACTTGTCACAGGAAAGTTTATCTTAAAAACTGATTAACATATTATGTCATCCAGGAAATTTTCAGTAATTTCATTCACATTTAACAACCCTATTTTTTTTTATTTGGTCAGAATTTATCAAAGCCCACCAAGCACTCATTCATGAAAACTGAGATGGTTTAGCAGGTACACAAATACTTCAATGTTTACTAGTTTCATATATACTTACTATTATAGTTGTCTTCTTTCTGTTAGCAATGCTGTTTTAAATTATTATTTATAATGGTAATTGCAATTTTTCATTTGACTTAAATTCATTTAACTGAAAATAGAGTAAAACAATTAAAATAAATAATAACATAGGAAGTAACTACATGTGGCAAAAATTATGAAG